GGAAAAATCAGAGCTTAAAATAAAACTCAAGATTTTTACTTTTTTTATGTTGTGTAATTTTCTTTTTCTTCGAATTGATATTATAAAACTGGTATCGAAAAAAGTATTGTTCAGGAACCGGTATCGAAGTGAAGGTATTGGTATTGGTACCGGAACCGAAAATCTTTGAACAATACCCAGCCCTAAGCACTACTTGGCTACACAGAGGCCAGCTGAAAGAAGCCTCAGATTTCCTGTCTGGAGATCAGTCAGGGAAATCTCAGAACCTTTGGAGAAACTTGCCCTGTAAACAGGAGGACCTTTAGAGAACCCTTAGTGGGTCTTGGAGGAGCCATGAACACAGCAGTAGGGCTACTGAAACATTTGAAGAAGCTCTTACAGGCAAGAAAACAAAAATAAACAAAAAGCCACCAAATTATAAAAAATTATAACATTATTCAATTTCAAGTGATTTGTCTTCAGAGAAAGAGTTTTACATATTATAGCTCTTTTTTACATAAATATTTTTCTCCTTTGCAGCATCCAATGATGTTAACAAGGTGATAGAGATCAATCCATACCTGCTGGGCACCATGTCTGGAAGCGCTGCAGACTGTCAGTACTGGGAGAGACTCCTGGCTAAAGAATGCAGGTCTTTGTTTTGAATTATTTTCTAGTACACATGCAAAGAGATACTATTCAGCATTTTGTTTTATTTGTTCATTGTATCTTTGCTTAATATAAAAACAGAAGTTTCACGATCCTAGACATTTTAAACATGACGAAAGCAAAAACAATAAAGCTAAATGTTTTGTACAGCACATCAAATTCCTTTTTAAAATTAACAAGGGGTTTTGCGTTTTAAGTTGAATTAAGAGCTTATTAGTAAACTTCTTTGATTATTAATTCACAAGCATATTTTCTTATTCTTATTTTGATCCTGTAGGCTGTACAGGCTGAGGAACAACCACCGGATCTCTGTAGCTGCCGCCTCTAAGCTGCTGTGCAACATGATGCTGGGTTATAAAGGAATGGGCCTTTCTGTGGGGAGCATGGTCTGTGGATGGGACAAAGAGGTGGGCTTTTTTTTTTTTTAATAAAGGATACCACAAAAGAAAGAAACATTTATAGCCTCAGGAAATTCTGTGCAAAAGGCTATTATCATTAGAAGCTCTAAGGTAGAACTGAATGTTATTATTGTATTCTCCTTCTTAAAAACAGAACTATAGTAGTAGTAGTTGAATGTAAATCTGTGGTTAAAAGAAAGTTTAGATTTAATAAAAGTCCAAAACTTACACATTTTTCATAAAACCAAAAAACAAACATTAGGACAACTTTCCCCTACTTGTTAAACATAATGTTTCTTATTAATCTACATGATTACGTGCAAATTTATGATGTATATGAGACGCTTAATCCAGATTAAGTCTTATCACAGCACTGACTCTGACACCTTTTAGGATGTACAATGGTATAATTTTAACTTCTGATTCAACTGTTTAAAGTGTTTGTGATGGTGATCATGTTAATGTTGATTTTAAAGGCACAGCTGTGTAATAGTTTAAGTCCAACTTATCCAAGAGAAGGTTCTCTATTCATTTAATACGGCTTTCATCTTCTGTTTCTCCCCTTTCATACGGAGTTCCTCAAGGCTCCATGTTAGGTCCTATTTTATTGTGCTTTGCAATACCTGCAATTACAATGCTTTGTTATAACTGCTCCGTCTATGACTAATATTCTGGAAATGACATGTGTCATTTCAGTTTTCGTACAGATAACATTTAGGTCTAGAATCCATATATGCAGCCGATCCCAGTCGGTGGAAAGACTACAGGTTGTCCCGATGGAGGTTTTAATTTCTGACACAATACTGATGTTGTCTATTAAAACACCATGAATCATGCATACCTTTATTAATTATTTTTTATCAAGAATGTTAGAAAAGGCTTAAATAACTGATATTACTTAAACAGAGAATAACATTGAACAACATTAGATATGAAAACAACAAATTATAAACCACTACTTAACATATAGCCACTAGGGGCGCTAGCCCTATACCTTCCAGGTTTATCCTTCCTGAAAACAATGGCAGTGCTGCACTACTGAAAAATTATAATTTTTTCCTCCTTATTTTCGAGCCTGAGCAGCACAGTTTGGACTAACAGGTCAGGAAGACATGGAGTTTCTTATAAAGACAAGGAAACGTTCCTCCCTCTAGATTAAATCCTACATCAGTCATACATATGTCTGATCAGGTTTCAAAGTTGCTTGATCTGCTAACAATCACTTTTAGTTGAGTTAGCTCTGTTGTTTAAGGGTATAGTTAGAGCTCAGACTGCGATAAAGTGCAGTTTTGGATCACATGACCAATTTAGTGACGGTTCCATCCCTCTCAACTTACGTAGGTGAGTTTTTGAGAAGGGCAATCCAAATAGAGCATCGATTTGTGTAAAGTGCTGAATATTAATAGCCTAGTAAACTAGCCCCACCCACCGTGGCCAAAATAATTTTTGCCTGCGAGTTGGTCTAGCCTCGATCAATGCCCCAGGCCCTAGAACTGGTGGGCCGATCACAACGCAGAGATGTGTTTTGAATTTAGAGGGCATGATGACAAAGCTGAGCGGCGCTGGAGAAAGTACAACAAGGAAGATGCAAACAAATATTGAACAGTTCTCATTTGACTCAGCTTTGGAATCAGTCTTGGTAGGATTATACTTGGGGTTTTCGTTGAAACGTGAGCAGGCAGAGGCTCTATGCTCATTCATTTTTAAGAAGGACGTATTTGCAGTTTTACCGTCATGTAGACATGGTTTGAAAGACAACGGGTTGTTCTCATCAACAATCTTCCGATGTCTCAGTCATCGGGGCCAGACTTCACATTTAATCTCACATCAAGTCTGGTTTATCAGGCTAGAATATTAATACAATATATTTCAAATTATGCCAAATTATGCATTGTTACTCTAAATAGAAGAGCAGTTTTTGTATCTGCTTGCTTATAGCAGAGTTTAGATGCACACTAATATATTTCCAGTACCCATTTTTAGGCTGATATTGGACTAATTTGTGATATCAACACAACAGGTGAAATCATACCTTCGCTCCTAAATATTTTAGTAAACTGTCAGCTGTATCATAAAAAAAATGGAAAGTGTTTGGGAATGAGGACTGTACGCGATGGAGAAACAAAGATTTTAATTTCGCCTGATAAAGCAATGGAGTCTTTGGACAGTTTAGGCTGAAATAACGCCAGATCACTAAGGCAAACGCTTTTGAACTGACAGTGTCAGGGATCTGATCTCCAAATATGTTTAATTCTTGCTGTTCTCCTCTTCCCGCATAAGGACAAGTGATGTGAGCTAAAAACTCACTAGGTGGTAGGCCACATAAACTGAATGAACGGGGTCAGCAGATGCTGAAGATCATAGTGCGAAAAGGTCGTTAACTTTCTGCAGAGTTGATCACTACACAGATGCAAACTTCATGTGACCTGCTCTAGAACAGTGAGCATAGAGTTTCATTGAATGGGTTTTCAATGTGGAGCAGCTGCATCCAAACCATACATCACTAGGTGCAATCCAAAGTGTCAGGTGCAGTGGTGGACTGCATCTGACCAAACGCTACTGGACTCCAGAGCAGTGGGGACGAGTTCTATTGAGTTACCAATCGTGCTTCTCCATCTAGAAATCTAATGGATAAGTCTGGGTTTGGCAGTTGCCTGGACTGCACTGTGCACAGCGTAAAGTGTGGCTGAGGGGAGACTAGAGTGTGAGGTTCTTTTTCAGGAGCTGGACTTGGCCCATTAAATACAGTGAAAGGAACTGTGAATGCTTTAACATACCGAGACATTTTGCACAATCCCATGATCCCAACTTTGTGGAAACAGTTTGGAGCTTGCCACTTATTCTTCTACCATGACTATGCACCAGAGCACAAAACAAGGTCCATAAATACATGGCAAAGTCTGGTTGATGAACATTTGTCAAGTCTTGGATGGACTTTACAAATTTTTTAGATAAAACATACCACTAAGAAAAAAAATTAACATCATTATTGTGTTTAATGTTAATCTTGTGTTTGAAAATGGATTTTAGGATTTGCTTGCATCATACAGAAACCAAGGTTATTTTAAAAAATAAATAAATAAATCGTGTCTATTGCAGGGCCCTGGTCTGTACTACGTGGATGAAAATGGGACTCGTCTGTCTGGTCGGATGTTCTCTACTGGTTGTGGGAACGGTTATGCCTATGGAGTGGTGGACAGCGGCTACAGGGAAGACATGACAGTAGAGGAGGCGTATGAGCTCGGCTGTCGGGGCATTGCTCATGCTACTCACAGAGATGCTTACTCTGGTGGAGTAGTGAACAGTGAGTACACCTGGATAATATTTATGGACTTTACTGATTATATATACTACTTTATGTTATCTATTTATGTTATGCTATGCTGTTTCTTGCTCAATAGTTTAAAAGCTGTTTTCAACAGCAAAATCTGCTTTTGTTGTTTTGGTAAATGTCAGGGAAAAAGCTCTAATGTTTTAAGTTATTGAGGTTTTGTATCATGCCATATTAGTTTTTTATTTAGAAATTTTTCAGCTGGTGGATAATTTTACACAATTTTCTCTATAGGACAAGTTTTCCAGGAAAATAAGAATAGTAATCTATGAATAATACAAATTAGTAGTTAATAAGCACCAGAAATTCTTTATAATTTCTATTAGTTCTGTTCAAGTGTTTTATTGGTGTTTAATGTTATTTTATCTGTATTTTGCAGTGTACCACATGCAAGAGGATGGCTGGATTAAAGTGTGTAAAGAGGACGTCTCACAGCTGATCCATCGTTATAGAAAGGGAATGTTCTGAGTCAAACATTCAGAACCCTTATCAACTTAAACACTGTTTATTGATGTACAACTGAAACAAATAAAACTGATCCAGTGGGACAGAAACATGGATTGATAGAGTATGTTGAACATTTTCCAATCCTTTTTCCAAAATTCCTAAAAAAAAAGTCAAAAATAAACACATCTTCAAATAGAAAATATTTCCTGTTGCTTTTATATAAGTAATTTACATTTGAACATGCCTAAATAAAAACATCCAACCATTTCTTGTAGACAAGTTTGACAAGATTTGGAAATATAGTTTTAACTCTCCAATAACTTTTGAGTTGTTGACTATTTACTAAATCATATGATACTATCACATCTAATAAAACCAGCATTGCAGTTATTGAATAAAAACATGTTTTACTAGCTTTAATTTATTATTTATTCTGGGGCATGCTGATGTGTATCAAGCAGTATTTCTTGCTCACTCCCTCATTCATTCATACAGACATACATCCATCCATCATCTGACACGCTTGTCCCAATTGTGGTCGCGAGGGGTGCTGGTGCCCATCTCCAGCAGTCAATGGGCGAGAGGCAGGGTACCCCCTGGACAGGTCGCCAGTCCATCGCAGGGCAATGCAGAGACAAACAGGACATACAGCCATTCACACTCACACCTAAGGAGAATTTAGAGAAGCCAATTAACCTAACAGTCATGTTTTTGGACTGTGAGAGGTAGCCGGAGTACTCGGAGAGAACCCACGCATGCTCAGGGAGAACATGCAAACTCCATGCAGAAAGATCCTGGGTCAGGAACCTTCTTGCTGCAAGGCATCAGTGCTACCTACTGCGCCACTGAGCAGCCCCCCTTCATACAGACTTTGACATGAAAATTTACATTGCAAAGCACACTTTGAGCTTTTAGGCCTTAAGTTTTCCTAAGCTAGTATAAAATAAGGACTGAGCAGCTGCTCATATGTTTAATTTGTATCATACTAATCCTGGAGTACAATATTAACACATGAGATGGAAGTTTAAACATCAGTGTTTACTTACAAAATCAATTATTGATCAACATTTTATTTCAGTTATTTCTAGTTATCCAAATGCCCCCTTTACCAGACATGTCCACTTTTTACATACAAATATAAAGTAATGAAAATTTCCAGTTTTCACTTTTTCATGGGACCATAATCATATGCTTAAATCTACCAAATAAAATCAAGTGAAAACATTTTTTATTCAATGTCTGCAATGCTAGTTTTTGAACAGAATACTACAGTATTTTGTTGCCCGACATAATTCTGAAGTGACTGCCTTGTGGGAGGGTCCGGAGAGACACCCCCACACACACGGGGAGCAGAGCAAGCAGCATTGGACACAAGTGCAGCTTCACAGATGAACTTCAAAAGAAATTTTGCACGTACCATCCCGGTCACGACAAGTGGGAGGCTGAGTGCACCGTGTGCAAAGTTGGCACATATTTTTCAGTGTCTATAAAGGTACTGGAGATCTAAAAGTTCACATAGACGATGAAAAACATTTAAAAAACTGTGCGAGGTTAGAGTTATTATACAAAGTTGACTGAATACTTTGTTAGACCTGGGAAAACAGTGGATGCTGTAATGAGGTAATTTGTTGAAGCTGTATTTTCTGATACAGAAGAGGTCAGATTTAGAATATTGTTTGATATTATTTATTTCTTTTACAAGAGAGCTATAATTTTGTTATCAGAGGCATCAAGTAACAAAGTACAAACACTTCCTTACCTTATTTTAGTAGAAATTTTGACTATATATACTTTTTTAAAAACCATTTTACGTCTACTCCTTGTATTTTTTTCTTTTAGAACTATCTCTAGTTTCTACTTTCATTTTTTATATAGATATGTTAGTTAACTTATTTTTTGTTATGGCCTGTTGGGTATTAAAAAAAAAATAAAAAAAACCCAACAAAATATTTTTTCATCCAGAAATTAATTTCTGCCCCAACTTGTTGTTCATCACATACCAAAATAAACAGGTTTTCAAGATGATGCAAAGTTAAATTTTACACTGTTGCCATTAGTTATTATAGTAAGAAAATTAAGTATAAGGAATTTATCATCTAGAATTGTAGAAAAATGTTCCTTTAATTTCAGGCCCTTCTCAAAATATTAGCATATTGTGATAAAGTTAATTATTTCCCATAATGTAATGATAAAACTTAAACATTCATATATTTTAGATTCATTGCACACTAACTGAAATATTTCAGGACACGGATGATTTTGGCATACAGCTCATGAAAACCCTAAATTCCTATCTCACAAAATTAGCAAATTTAATACGACCAATAAAAGAAAAGTGTTCTAATACAAAATAAGTCAACCTTCAAATAATTATGTACAGTTATGCACTCAATACTTGGTCATGAATCCTTTTGCAGAAATGACTGCTTTAGTGCGGCGTGGCATGGAGGCAATCAGCCTGTGGCACTGCTGAGGTGTTATGGAGGCCCAGGATGCTTCCATAGCGACCTTTAGCTCATCCAGAGTGCTGGGTCTTGTGTCTCTCAACTTTCTCTTCACAATATCCCACAGATTCTCTATGGGGTTCAGGTCAGGAAAGCTGGCAGGCCAATTGAGCACAGTGATACAATGGTCAGTAAACCATTCACCAGTAGTTTTGGCACTGTGAGCAGGTGCCAGGTCGTGCTGAAAAATGAAATCTTTATCTCCATAAAGCTTTTCAGCAGATGGAAGCATGAAGTGCTTTAGAATCTCCTGATAGCTAGCTGCATTGACCCTGCCCTTGATAAAACACAGTGGACCAACACCAGCTGCTGACATGGTGCCCCAGACCATCACTGACTGTGGGTACTTGACACTGGACTTCTGGCATTTTGTCTTCCTCCAGACTCTGGCACCTTGATTTCCAAATGACATGCAATATTTGCTTTCGTCTAAAAAAAGTACTTTGGACCAACAGTCCAGTGCTGCTTCTCTGTAGCCCAGGTTAGGCGCCTCTGCTGCTGTTTGTGGTTTAAAAGTGGCTTGACCTGGGGAATGCGGCGCCTGTAGCCCATTTCCTGCACACGCCTGTGTACGATGGCTCTGGATGTTTCTACTCCAGACTCAGTCCACTGCTTCCGCAGGTCCCCCAAGGTCCGGAATCGGCCCTTCTCCATAATTTTCCTCAAGGTCCGGTCACCTCTTCTCGTTGTGCAGCATTTTCTGCCACACTTTTTCCTTCCTACTGAGTTGCCTTGATACAGCACTCTGGGAACAACCTATTGGTTCAGAAATATCTGTGTCATACCCTCTTACTTGAGGGTGTCAACAATGGCCTTCTGGACAGCAGTCAGGTCGACAGTCTTATCCACAGTGTAAAAACGATCTAGAAATAAGTACAAAAATTCTTAAATTAAGGGAATATACTTTTAATTTGAGCAGGTAAATAAGATCGTTTGCCAATGGAATTAGTATTTTTACTCTTAGAACAAGATAATTAGATAATATGCATTTGAAATAAGACAATGCAGTTATTTTTTCTTATTTTAAATGTAGATTTTCTTGTTCCATTGGCAAAGTGTCTCACTTGCCTCCTCACTTCAAGGCAAAATGCACTTATTTTAAGAAAAAATGACTTATTTAGATTTACATTGTTTGCAGTGCATGATTGGGGTTTTGAGTAATGAACCAGGCTGGGAGCTTTGAAGGCCTCAGGAATCTTTTGCAGGTGTTTAGAACTAATTTGTTGATTCAGATCATTAGGTGCATAGCTCATTTAGAGACCTTTTTCATGATATTCTAATTTTGTAAGATAAGAATTTTGGGTTTTCATGAGCTGTATGCCAAAATCATCTGTATCCTTAAATATTTGATCTGAATGAATCTAAAATATATTATTGTTCAAGTTTTATCATTTCATTATGGAAAATAATGAACTTTATCACTGTCATGGCAAAAAAGTATTCAACTATTCATCCATGTTAAATAAACGGAGATCGATGGATTTCACTCAGTCGGCACATTTATTAATATCTTTGCAAAGAGAGAACAGTCATCATGGCACAGCATTCTGCTCTGTTCTGATCTGGGCAGGGTTCGTCCCCCCCTACTTACAACAATGGAAAGCAGTCAGAGTCATAACAAATTACACACTCTTTGGTTAAACAGTAACATGTTATGAATAAACCTTGAGAAAGAACCTGATTTGTTATGGGAAGAAGCTATGTCTGGTCTAGAAACAGCATCCTGCAGGGAATGGTGTGACCTTGAGAGAGAAACAGACTGAGTGAAAACTTTTATAGTGAGTAAATATGAGTATTAATATATAATAGAAGAAAGATCAAAATTTTCCGACAACAGTCCACCCTTTCGATTATAAAAAGATATTATCCTTGTGTAATCGATATTATAAAAAAAGGAAAATTTATGAATATAAAAAACAAAGAAACTAAAATTGTGAATATATGTAAAGAAAGCTAACATCTAAGAAACTAAAAATTGTGAATAAATGTAAAGAAATCTAATAACTACAAAACTAAATAAAATAAAAAAACTAATGATAATTTAAAAAATAATAAATAAAAAATCCACAACTGCATTAAGCCGGTGGACAATGTTAAATGATTATAATAGATGCAAAAATTATGGAAAAGATTATGACAGCAAAAATATGTTGCCAATAAATCACATCTTAGTTGGCAAAAATATTTACTGTTTTTCCCCATGATGATTGTTGGGATCTGGAGGTTTGTCCACTTTCTCCACCAGAGGGCACATGAAATCTCCTGGAGCAAGAGCCGTACGCACCACCTGTCTCTCATCTGCTCATCAGGAGATGCGTACTTAAAGGTATACTATGCAACCGGTGTTGATTTGCCAGCGAGGCTCCCCCCAGAGGGCGAAAGTAAAAGTGCACTGTCGTAAATATGCACAG